GACTGCAGCAAGCGAAGGGAGAACTGCTGAACATGACATTTTCCACGCCCCCACCCCCCTTTTTTTTTCTTCTTTCTCCTTCTTGCTAGTCCCGTAGTTTTCTCCATTTAACTTGTACGATTTCACGCAGGCCCGGGAATGGATAGGGTGTTATATATGGTTAATGTAACGAGCTGACAGCAGAGCTTTTCAGACGCGTTGCTTCATCCGGCCATCTGTTTGAGTTGGAGGAAAGAGCTGGAAGATTTCTTACTGTACAGATATATTAAGAGAAGTCAGAAAATTGGACATATGAACCTTTATATTTTCCATTAATAATACAGTAGTTTGATAGCAGTGTATAAATCACCGAGTTAGAACACTTTAAAATGAAGTTCTGGCACTCCCACCAGTTAAAGTAGCACTGTTATTTATAGATATTACATGAAGCCTGATGTTATGTTTAAGTGAGCGTTAAACAGTTCAGGCTGTTGTATTGTTGCTATGCACCAGAGAACCTCTGTCAAAGTGACTTTGGCACCGTTGCGTATCCGCCTTTCTCCCTTTGTCTTAAAAATCTTTTGCTTGTGTTTGTAGTTATCCATGTGTTCAGCAATGGAACAGCCTATTGTTAGTGAAACAAGGGCAAAGTCACACTGGGATTTTTAGAAAGAAAAAGCCAGTTCTCCACCTTGCCTAAAACTTTGTTAAATATTAAACTGGCCATACCAAGGAGTTCAGTAAAAACAAACATTGAGGGTTTGCAGAACTTGAACCTAATAAAGTAGAAAGTTAATAGTCAGGTATGGAGTGTTTTGTCTTCTAGAAAAAGCAGCTATGACAATGCACAAGTGGAAATCAACGGTGCTTTGAAAGGTTTAACTAAAGAGAGAATGAAGGTGCAGGCCTGCAGAAACTCTAAAATTTAACCACAGAGGTCTTTGCTGTGACTTGAAGAGAGCGTGAGCCTCTCTGGCACTCAGGGTGGAATTGATCTTGACTACATATATAATTCCTATGAATTGTCATGTTTTGATTATAATGTATGTATTTTTTATTATATACAGCTCTAATATTTCAGAGCCCACCTGCAAGTTGCTGCATTCTATCCTACTGCGTGCCAGAAAGGGTCAGAAAATCTACAGCAAGATGCTGTGGGGCATACAGCGTTGATCTCTGTCCCCTCCCTGTAGGTCATCTTTTGAAATCACAAGCCTGTGAGCACTTTGCCAGAGCTTGGGTACCAGCTCTGTGAGAACAGAGCTGCTGGCAGATCCAACAGTATGTATTTCTCCTTGTGTGCTTGGTCTTTTCATCTTTTCATTGTTGAACCTGTCTACTCATTTTTAAAAGAATTTGGAAGCATAACTACCACCTTTCTGCAGCCTCTTCCTTACAACAAATCTGCAGTCCACAGTATTTCCAAAGGAAAGCATCAGTTAACAGCAACCCATCCCCAAGCTTTGATACCAAAGGGAGAGAGTAAAAAGCAAAGTATAAAGCACGAACTGCGGGAGGGCTCATAGTGATGGCTGGAGTTGAGAGGGTGAGAGGCTTAGGCTGAGTGTGAGAATTCGTACCCACCTTGCTATTACTTGTGTGCCATAGTAAAAGCTCTGTTTGCAAAGGAAAAGCCTGTGGAAATTTTTAGGGGCTGATGTTTTTCTTTAAATGATGCCTTTGTGTTTGAAAACTAGAGGATCTGTTTAAGCAACCAAAAGTTAATAAGTAAATAAACAAGTTAGGCTTCTTCCACAGTAAAACAGAGCTTAGAACCAAATTCAGTCTGAAAAGTTTCAAAGGGAATAGGGAATAAAACAGGAAAAAATCAGAAACTCTAACAGTTGTCTTCCTCCCTGTAATCCATGCAATCTTGCTTGATATAAGAATTGACTAGCTTTTAAACAAGGAGGGCTAGTCAGAAAAAATCAGTGTTCACTCTGAAAGAGAAAATATGCCTAATACTTGAAATTCTGTAACACCAGGTTGAAGAAAGCTTAAAAACAAAAAAAACCCCAAATCATATAGATCATAAGCAGGCAACTATTAGTGTTACAGACAAACAATAACAATAAAAACCCACTCACCTCTACCAACAGAAAATGCTCTTTTGTGTTGCAGTGAGAGAGATAAGCCTTTGCTAGAATTACTGAAGTGTTAATGGCATGCTTCTGGCCTACAGAAGGATACAAGTGGTCAATAAAATCTGACTGCAGGCTGGTGTTCAGATGGTAATCATGAAGATAAGAGTCTGAGGCAAATCAAACAGCGAGAAAGAAGGAAGAATAGATAGTGGAAAAAAAAAGTCTTGTAAAACAACTGTAGGAGTTTTACAATAAGAAAAAACAACAGTGTAGTGTATGTTCTGAAATAGCTATTAGTGTACATTACTGGTCTATTTTCTGGTTTGGGCATTGAGCTTGAGTTCATTCACTTCAATTGAGATAGAGTGGGTTCACTTTCCTTCACTAGTCCTCAATGCCCAAATTGTTATTGCTTAGGCCACAGCAATACAATACTAACTTGCGTATTTTATAGCATGGTTCATGCATAAGAGAATTTTTATTTTATCATACGGTCATTGGTAAACCAACATTGTCTCTCAAACTGATGAATAGTCATCTTCTCCTCTAGTATGCTCTAAGTAATTCAGGAATTACAGGTGATTTGTCTAACAACTCTTAGGAGAGTTTATACAGATAAATCCTGATTAGTAGTGATTTTAAAGCTGGGCAGAGCTCCAAGAAGCGTCATTCATGAATACAACATTAATAGAAGCAGTAATGAGACCAAAGAAAAGGAAGCGATTGCGGTGTTTATACTTATTCTTTCTTTAAGCAAGCTGAAGAGTGGTTGCTATTGTTTTTTAACTACGTGATGCAAACAAGAGCAAGATGTTTTGGGATTCAGCAGATAAATGCATGTTAGCAATATACTGGAAGTTACATTGCAATTTGATTTATGAAGAAAACAATGTTAAAACAGGTTTTGTTTTAGTGTGTATTTTTTTTTGTCTTCTTGTGAAATAGGGCCTGAAAATTAGAAGGCAATGTGTGAAAATATGAAAGTGCTATTAATCTTCAAAACCATTCTTCCACCATTCCCATTTTTATATCTTCCTAAGTTTTCAGGTTAGCAGCTATTTATCTAGAATGAACTACAGTAGCAGAATGACTTGTTCAAAAGCACATGCTTGTGAGGTGCATATTTCTGAATACTTTCTACTCAGTGATGCTGAATGTCTTTATACTCAAGATGTTATTCATTAATTATATATTATACATAGATGGTAGTCTTAATATTAAAAACAACAACAACAAAAACTAACAACTGGGAATATGGAATGCTTTTTGCTATTTCAAATACTGAAAGGCATTAAAAAAATATATCAGTCTTAAAATAACCTGATTTGAGAAATTTTGGTGAACCAGCCAGTTAGACAAAATAAGTGTGTAACTGTTATATTGCTTCTTCATATAGAGGAAAAAATAAGAAAAAGTAGGATATGTGGATTAATGCCAGGCATAATTACAGTACAAAAGCGTTGGTGTTAAAAAAGGCTCTGTTACCTTAGTGCACAGATGTGGAGGAGGATAACCTTTTTTTCCTTTTAATTAGCATTCAATGAATTTATTTTATTTAATTGTGTAGTGTGCAGTAAGAAAATTCAACAGACAGTGCAACCTCTTAGTATTCATTCTGACTTAAGTTTATCTGTGAACTAGTATGCTGCACTGATCTGAGCAGGGAAAGGCATTTGCATCTTTTTGAGAGGGTAAAGGTAGTGTGAAACAATTTTTCATCTTATCCCTGGAAGATGACTTAAAAGGTAAGGGTGAAAGCACAAAGGTTAGCACAAAGGTTAATGGGTCCACAAACTCATTATTTTCCATAAAAAGTATTGGTGAAGCAGATATCCGCACTGTATATTACAATGTTGCATCTTTGCAACAGAAGCATTGTCCCATGCTGTCAGACATGTCTGTAGTTGCTTGGTTGTTACTTTCTGACCAGTCACATCTTAATATCTCTTTTTGATTTACATGGCTTAATATGGTTGTAATAAAGCCAGGACACAGAATAAACAATCATGGTTTTGCTTGCCTCTGATTACGAAAAAGACTCTATGGAAACGTGGGGTTGTTTAGTGTCTTTTGTTGGTGGTGGTGGGTTTTTTTGACTTTGAAAAAGAATTCTCCACTGACTGGAGTAGCTACTTCCATAACCATCTACTGCTGTGATCTGTGTGTTACCAAGCTAGACGTATCTGTAGAGGAGAAAGAAAAGCAGAGAAGTGTTTCTTTCTTCATCACCCTTGGCAACAGGTGTCTATGCATCTCATTTTTGTAAATGCATTTTTCAAACTCCGTAAAAGCTTATGCCTATGACCTTGAAAAACAGAATGCAAATGCAAGTCTGTGGATGTATACACTTCTGGAAATATCTGGATTTTATGTCAGAGACAAAACTTTCCTAAAGGGATGTGAACACTGTTGTAATGCTTCAGATTGTCAGTTTTTAGTGAGCTAGCCTAGTGTTTAAATTTGATTTAGAAATATGTTTTCCTTACACAGTACTGTATTTTAAGTTTCTATGTGTGCTATGTTGAATGTATATTCTTATTTATTCTGTTGGTAATGATGGATGATCTTTTCTACTTAATGTAAAATGTTTTGAGCAGCTATATCGTATTTTCTTGTTTTTGTTCATACACTGATATTCTTGGCTTTGGGTTTTGTATCTGAAGCAAAATAATGCCTTCACAGGCTGTACATTCTTTCACATGTTGAAATTTGTCCACTGCTTTTACAAGCTAGCTAAAACTGTTCTGTGTTATTTCATAGGTGTTCTGTAAGTCTTACTGGTGGAGGAGGAAGGAAAAATGCCAGTTTTATAATTTGTTGCTTTAAGTAGGCAGGCATACACCAAGCTGGACAAATTCTACCTGTTGCTTGTATTTCAGAATCATTTACTTGGTACTGAAAGACAGTTTCTAAATACTTTCGGCACTCTTTTTGCAGCTCCTGCCAGTGGATGGACATCAAACAGTATTAAAACATTTGGAACAACTGCTCCAAGTCAGAAGTTTGAAACAGCTTCTCAGCTAACAGAGCAGGACACATTGGTTCAGAGGGCAGAGCATATTCCTGCAGGAAAGCGTACTCCAATGTGTGCACAGTGCAATCAAGTCATTAGGTTCGTATCTACTCATCTGCTCTCTGATATCAAAACTTTGCTTTGCTTTCATTGATTTTGATTCCTCAGTCACAACAGTTGTATGGTTCCACTTCCTTAACGGAGAACACCAGTTTTGTAAGTGGTTTATCTAGAAAACCTAAGAATGAGAGAAAATTATGGAGGGAGAATATTGCAAATGTTGGAAAACACCAAAAACGTTGCGTCACATCCTTGCCATGCATTTTATAGAGATTTAGAAAGCTGGGTGGAGTAGGGCAAAAATAAATGCAAAAGAAGAGTAAGGTACTTAGTTCTCACTTTCACATTGTTGCCAGTAAAACTGGAAAATGAGCAAGCTGGAAACAAATGAGAGTACAGGGAAACCAAATGCAAACTAACATCACAAAAGCCAATTTATTAACCAGAATTTCTAAATGAGAGGAGGAAAGATAGCAGGCTCCAGCTATACAAGGTAAGTAAGGAATACAGTTTTAACAATTGCTAGGATTGGTTTAGTTATAACTTGCTAATACATTTCAAGTTTCAAGGGTCTTTGTGGGCTCTCTGGCATTTGGGTAGTTAGTGTCCTTGACTTGTATAATATCAATGGAAAGGATTAATCAACAGAATACACAAAAATGAGGTTGCTAATTGACATAAATTTTGTTCAATCTCCTAGATATTCTATGTTTAGTCAGAATTTCATATAGAGGAAGAAATGACTCTTAGACTGCACTGTTCTGTCAATGAGTTTTGAAAATTAGATGTGATTATCGTAGCACTTTTCATGTCAGTGTGCAAATCCTCCTTGATTTTCATCTGACTGGGATTTTGGAGGGATTGTTAGATGATTATTAATATATTAGGTGAAATATATTCTTTTAAGATATCATCTTTGTTGTTCTGTTATCTGTGCTGTTGAACTGCAAGAGCAAAGTAATGTACTGTAGTATTTATTTTTTTTTCCACCTGTGTTCATGTTTTCAGTGAACAACATAGGAAAGCATGCACTATATTTCACCATGGTTAAAGGAAGAAACTTGTTTGATTAGAAAAATGATACGTATCTATAAGATGTGTAGATTTCACTCAGCATAATAGAAAATCAAGCTTTCTATGATGGACTTTTAAGGTTTCTTGAACCCTTGCTTGAACTCTGCATCGAAAATTCATCTGGCTGATCACTTCTTTCTAGGGTTGAATCAAGTCCAACTTGCTGGCTTCCATTAGATATGTTCCGATATTTCACTACTAGCTCCATTAACAAAAGTTAATTTAGGGGATTATTTGCTAACTCTCCTGTGGAGTTCTGGAGAAGATTTTCCTATTTTAATTCAATATGACAAGGGAATAAAAATATGCTATCTCAACGTCTTTGAAGCAACAGAAAAGGAAAAAAAAAAAAAACACATGAATTTTGAATGCAAATGTACATGATCTCCAATCCTGATCTTATGCTTCACTTCAAAATGAAAGATTAGTATCAAAAAGGCCTTTGCACTTTTTGGAAGAGATTCATCTGATAATTACCATATCCATTTTTAGCAGTCTGACCTCTTTGTTCTCTGAGCGATGGAGAGCTTTGAATTCATCTAGTAAGTACTATGTGAGAAAACGTATACTTTCATTTTTGCCATTAACATTTCCATTTAAAAGTAATACGAACACAGCACTTATACAATATGCTGCATCTTTCATGCAGAAACTTCAGAGCCTTTTACAGAACCTGTAGTTTAGCAGGGTTTGCTTTTGCTCTGTACTGTAGGCTCTCACGGCACAGTCCACCTATCACTCCTGAGTGCTCTTCTCAGTACTTAAAACACAAGCTGCTGTTCTCTCCTTTAATCACCACTGAAAAGGAAATGAGCTTCAGCCCTGCGAGTATGGGAGTGTAGTTGTCTAGAAGCAACCTTTGTTCTTTAGTGATCACATATGGAGAAAGGAATGAGCCCTACTTGACAGTACTTAAACCATTGTCACCTACTGAAAGTGACACCTCTTTATGAATAGTAACTGATACTCATGTTTTTCCCTAAATTGTTGTCATTGTTTAAATCTTAATACTTCTTCATATGTTAAATGCCATCTCAATTATTAAAAGCAAGCATTGTTTCATTTGTGGATGAGTTTTCATGTTAATCAATGTTAATTATACCAAATGTTCACAGTCTACAGTGAATTTGAAAGATTGCAAAGGCATTTTGGTTTCAAGTTTTATCATAATTACAGTTCATGCCCTTAGTGGTCATGTTACCTATGAAAAGGTAGGAGGAGGATTAAGTGACACTGCACTGTGCATCTGTTTTGAAGCCAGAATGTGTTGTGAAATTGGTTACTTTACACGAAGGAATTGAATGACCGTGGCTAGTTAAGCCAAAACCAAAGGCATCTGATAACTTTTTAATATATCTTTAATTATTGATACAGTGATTGTATGAAGATTTCAAGTTCTTCCACAGCTTCAGTAGGTAAGCTTTTGTTTCCGTGTCTGTAAGTATCAAGTTGGAGGCAAACTAAATTTCTCTTGATCTACTTGCTGCGTTAGTCTGATGAACTCCTGACATTTTCTGATGAAGACTTCCGGTTATCAGGCAGTCTCACCGAGTGCTTCAGTGCAGAGTTCACTCTGCCTTTTAAGTCCAAATGTGTTTTCCCTGTATCTAGTCTGAGAATATTTCTTAAGTGTGTCTGCCTCTGAATGGTGATTTGCTTTTGTCACCTTTTCATGGATCTTAATTATCTTAAAGGGACTAGGGAAAAAGTACAAATGGTGCTTCCCTTCAGCATCTTCCATACATCCATATCCCATCTCCATGTATGTCATTATATATCATGATATTTTCAAATGAGGAGAAAAAGAATAGTTAACTACAAAACAATTGGCCTCACCAATTCACCAGATGTGGAAATCCTTTTGATCTTTCTACCACCAAATTTCAGTTCTGGGTTTCTATCATAATCAAAGACACGTGAGAAGCTAGATTATTACCATACTAATACATCATGAACATATTGATAAAGTTATACATAGTTACAAATGGAAAAATACTGAAATTATCCTTACATTCTTTGTACATTACTTACTTTTTATTCCAATTTGACCCTGTTTCATTGCTACATATGGGACCCAGATGTTATACAAGGCTACCAAATATGTGTACCTAGTGATCCTTCGGGATGTAACAGTATGTAACTACTGATGTAAATACACCGGAATCTCTTAAAAAATAATAATAATAATAATAAAGTTACTACTGTTTGCCTCCATCTGTGGGTTTGGTTCATGTAGTCTTAGATGGTAATGTCAGCAGTTAGCATTTGAAGCTAGCTTGGAACGAAGGTGCATTCATAGCCAACTGTTGCTAGTTATGTTACCATTCCTTATCATCAACTGGAAGCAAGATGTTTTTTGAGCTCCACTTGTAAAATTTGACTAGTTTACTAAAAGATAGTTGACAGAAAGGGGTTGTTGTTGTTGTTTTGTTAATGTACATGAAAGGACAAAGTCATTTGTAGTCATCTTCCTAGCATTTCCTGCTCTGGGTACTTCCCATCAGGGTGCATGGCTGTGCCAAATTAGGCATTTTAACTCCTTTTTGAATGAAAGCAGGGAAATAAATTCCTTTGATAACTGAAAGTTATCGTTTTGATCATGAAAGTATGCAGAGACCAGGAGCACCTCCAAGTTCTGAATATCATGTTTTAGTTTTTTACATGGCAGGTGTTTATTTTTTTCCAATTTTTTTTTTTCTTCCCACATGCTTTGGGGCAGCTTTTAAGTAAGAGGCATCATTAAGCTGCAATGTCAGTTTGACATGTTTAAACTATGGCCTGATTAAAAGTGAAATCACATTTAGAAAGTGCTCCTCTGGACACATGTGCAGATGGAGCAAGCCTGCTAATGGAACACCTAGGAAACATTGTGCAGGGCACGGCCACGGCTTCCTGGGGACTTTTGGGAATGAAACTCTGTAGATGCACTCTTGTGCACTTTTCGTCTGGGGTCCTACATGCTGTCTTGAATGGCTAACCTCAATATGTCAGAACTGTAAACTGTGGAGAGCTAAATGTTGCAGATGTTGTAAAAATTCCTTCCCTTCTGGTCGCTAGCATGCTTTCTTTCCATTTCATAACTAACCAGGCCTATCATTGCAGTGCAGATGGCCAGAAACTCAATCCTGCCTGTAGCACAGAGAGAGCCTCTTCAATGTCAGTCCTGTCTTAATGAATCTATTAAATTAGCCTGTGCTGACACTGCACCAGGAGAGTGCTTTGTTGTACACAAGGACTTGTATTGTTTGATCGGTACATAACTGAAAGGGCAGTGATGCAGAAAGGTGCTTGTATGGCAGCAGGAGGGTATCAGGTTAGGTCAGTGTTTGCACTGTTCAGGCATCCACTGGGATCCCCAGGCTCACTCCTTGAGGGCTGGGAGCTACTCCAGGAACTGTTTCACTGCTTTCTTTATGCTAATCAGAGGTAAATGGAAGAAACTGCTTCAGTATCATCTTCGTTGCAGCATACACATGAATCTGCTTCAGTCTTTCTGTCTTTGACTTCTCCTCCTGTTGAAAATATATGACATTCTCCAGAGAAAACATAGAAAAGAAAGAAAAATAATTATCTGTTCCTCCCAAAGGCATCACTTTCTGCTCATTTATTTTCTTATCTAACGATCAGCACAATCCTGGAAACAAACTTTCAGGTTTTTGTTTCTATTGTTGTCATTTCTTTGCTCATAGGAGAATGTTTGTCTTATAGAAAAACATCTTTGTTTCTTAATCAGTTTCCAAAATTGTTTAGCAAATAGGGTGGTGACACTAGCTAATACTTAGCACTTCTTCTGCAGTGAAGTATTAGATCAGGAAAAAATCCTGGCTTGTTACTGTAAGAATGGTATCTTTATTAGTGGTATCACAGAAGTGTGAAATTTGATGCAAGAAATGACTTGAGCCACAATGTTCACTTAAAACACAAATTCTGAAAGGTTGAGTGTTGGTGGGACTCAGGAGGCACCTCATTAAAGTAAATATTTTTGGTGAAGAAATTAGGCATGCTGATTATGTTTTCAATTGAATGCTGATGCAGAGATATATGCCAGAGAGTTGTGACTTAAAAACTAAGATGTTTGTTTGCATAGAAATGGCAGATTTCATTTTGTGCATTAACCATATTGCATTTGCTAGTGTATGGGAACTGCTGAGTCACGGCCTGAACCTCTGATTAATCACCTGAGGTGAGCCTTGAGTCAGCCAGAGGAGCACAGGTGAAGGCAATTCACCTGTGCTGCCGGAAGGGGTGGAGCCAGGCTCCACCCCTCCTGGACCTATTTAAGAGCTGGCTACGAGAGGGGAAGGATCTCTTCTGGAGATCCCCTCTTTTGGTATCTTCTGGTGAGCTCAACCCAAGGGTAAGCTCTTCCACTTACTCTCTTTTTGTGATCGTTGTCTGCTTTGCCTTACTCTCTTGATTATATTGCAATTATAACATCTTGATATCTATTGATTATACACAATTATATTGTTACTATAACATCTTGGTTATACAGCTAGACGAATGCTTTGTGTTTGGGGGAAGGGGAAGGGAGAAGAACTTCTGTTCTTGAAGAAAATGGTCCAATATTAATTAGCTTCTGGGGAAAACAAACAAACTCACAAAAAGCAACTGAATGGTCTATCTTGCAAAAAACTTGCTGTATAAGGACAGCTACGGAATTTTTGTTTTACAAGAAAATGTTGTAATTGGCTCTCAATGGAGTCAAGGGTACTTTAACATTTGTGGCCTTGATACAATTACATGCTGGAAGAGAGCTGATGGTATCACTGAGTCTGTTTGCAGTAGGTAGAAACAGCTGGGAACATGGAACAATTTTATTTTTTCTTTTCTTTTTTTTTTCCCTTTTCCTTAGTAGCCACTTCAGCATTGTACTCAATGCAATACTAAAACAGGATTTCTGAAATGCCATGAAGTGAAAAGAATTAGTTGTTACTGGGGTCATGGGTCTCTGGGAGATAGTACCATGCGAATAGCACTAGTTGACATTTGGCACTTTCTCACAATCCCATCCAAGGGAAGAGGAGTGGAGCAATACCATATTGTGAACAGTGTGATGGTGTTGCAGAGGTAAATTAGAAGCTTCAGCAGGAATCACATCAATCACTTCAATGACATTTGCTAACTAATCTTTTCTTCCTAACCAGAGGACCTTTCTTAGTGGCCCTGGGGAAGTCATGGCACCCAGAGGAATTTAACTGTGCTCACTGCAAGACTTCCATGGCTTACATTGGATTTGTGGAAGAGAAAGGGGCTCTGTACTGTGAGGTCTGCTATGAGAAGTTCTTCGCACCTGAGTGTTCCAAGTGCCAGAGGAAGATCCTTGGAGTAAGTGATCAGTGGCTAACCCAAACTTTAGTGAGAGCATTAACTACTGTGTTCGCTGCATCTCAGTAATGAAATTCTTAGTCTGTATTCCTCCAGATGTACCCTGGCATACCTCTTATGTTCCCATCACATATGGAGCGTGTGTATATAAATATATGTATATATTAATTGTTGAGCCTTTTCAGTCTCTCTCTAATGTTTTGATAGTGGTGTAGTCTCATTTGATCTTTCAAGTTAAGCCCCTGTTTTCATTAATCTGTTCTGTAACTGTTTGCTATTACTAGATTTTCTTCAGCAAAATGCTTTTAATTGGCAGCTCTTTGCAGAAAAAATGGAAAAAAAAAAAAAAGGAAAATAAATAATCCTCCTTAACCAAACTGGACGCTGGGAAAACACACTGGTTGGCTAGACTTGAAATAGTGAAATATTCCCTATGGTAATGCTAATAGAAAGATGTATTATCCCACTCGGCACTAATATTACTAATTTGAGCCTGCCAGCTCATTGCTTGCTGCTTTATTGCAGAAATTGCGTGTCTGTACTCTTATGCAACTGGGGTTATGCAGGGCCTTGGCAGCATGGTTCTCAAGTCATATTTGGCGTTATATTGTCTTCCAAAACAGCACAGAGCAGTAATAATTTTCACTCGCATGATAATTTATGATTAACTATTCACAGACTTCAGGAGATGTCAAAGATACTTCTTCTCATACTTCAGGGGACTGTTGTAGGTAAGATCCTAAGATGAAGAAGGGGAACAAATGAGCTGTTAAATACGTGAGGCTCCTGGTTTTTTGGTAGGTTTATGTAGAATTGTTTCTGACAAATAAGGAAATGCGCCATAAATAAATCGCTATATACAGTTTAATATCAGCAGAAACTGCATGCACAGTGTTCAAAGTAGCAGTAGGAAGCAAAGTATTCTTGAAACGTACCAAGTGTGGAAGCACTGTCACCACAATCTAGTCGTCACATCAAAATAATGTGTTAATAACTCTCTTTCTAATCCCCACAGGAAGTAATAAATGCTTTGAAACAAACTTGGCATGTTTCCTGCTTCGTGTGTGTGGCCTGTCATAACCCCATCCGCAATAATGTCTTCCACTTAGAAGATGGTGATCCCTACTGTGAGACGGGTAAGAAGTAACATAAGCAAAGATTAATGCAGCTGTGCAGAGAAACAGCTTAATAAGGTTTAAAAAATAATATTAATTCTTTTTTTCTCAAGCTTCACTTTGGTATAGAAGCGTCCTAGCAAATTCGTATAACTTTGGAATTTCAGTTTACGCTAACAACAAATGTAGTAGACACTTTAGTTTGCAGTGAGTTTCTTTTGCAGAAAAGATGGTAAGAACATATTCATTGGTTTCAGTAGGAGCAGGCTTCTTGTCACTGGTTTTACTTGTTGTTTCTTTTAAGTTCTCAACTGTAGGTATCGGTGATACAGCAAAGCATTTTAAGTTGATTTTCTGGTTGGCTTTAAAATAGTTGATCTGCTTATTTACTAAATGAGCAAATATCTGTAGAGCAATGTGCTTTTCTTTGAATAGCCTTATTCACAGTGGGGAGGCTACTTCCAAGAGCAAGCAGTCTGCCCAGGAAGTGTTTGCAGATTCAGTGAAACATAAGGTTAGAATAAAAATAAAAAAGTAAATAAGGACACCGGGAGAAAAATACAGTGATAGGAGTATAGCATATGAAAGCCTGTTGAGCAGTAATGTGTGAAAAATGTGGCAAAGAAATTCAGTTTTTTGTTTTTGTGGGTTTTTTTAGTTTTGTTTTGTTAGCACTTCCAGCTAATTGTATCTTCCTACATGATCAACATGAACATTTTTCATTTATATCAATTTCTTAGTTTTCTTAAAAATTCCCTTGTGCTATTTTGTGCTAGGGCAGAAATAGATGTCATCTGTAAAAAAAAGTTCCACGTAGAATAAAAACAATATATTAGAATTGTCTATTTTTGCACTGTGCATTATTTACATCTGTGTCAGAATTGTCAGACAAAGTTTTTCCATGTTTTTCCTCTACTATAAGGAGCATTGCATTTTTACCAAGTGGTGGAAGTAGTTTGACTGGGAAGAAATCTAGTTTGAAATTCTAATAAATTCTTTGAAGCTGAGATTTCCTTCCAAGTTGATCCCACATCTGTTCAACGTGGTTGCTATGAAGAATAATAGATGCTGAATGGGTGAAGAAGGCAGGCAAAATTTATCCATATTTTCAGTTGGAGCAGATTTGATGAGGTGTTGGCGGATGTGAAAGGACAAAGTAGATTACTGCTAATTCAGTTACACAAATAGGGTAACACGTTGCTCCTATTGGATTTTGTGGAGCAGCACAGGAAATGGATATACAAGCAGCATCCTCCAGTGTGACAGCATGGTGAAATTTCATCCTGAAACTGTCTGAAGCCCCTGATCTTGGAGCTATTTGATGATTCAAAAATAGTACCAGAGGGATCGATTACTCCCCTTTGGGTGGAAAGCTCATGACTGGGTTTGTTCTGCTAACACTGAATTCTTGTTCCTCTCACCAAATGACCCATATGTTGTGCAGTGCATTGATTTGTGCTACTGTTACAGCTCCCTTGCACAAAATGCATGCTTTTCTGTGCTCCAAGCAGGAAACATGGATAAAAGGTCAAGAATATTATACTATTTGTGAAATTTATTTCTGAGATAAAAGGTCTTAGTGCAAGTTAAGGCAGACACATTCTGCAAGATGCTGTTGACAGTGATGTGCTGAGATGGCTCTGGCTCTCTAACTAGATATTAATTTGAGATGTATGCATTCTTCAAAGACTTTCAGTCCAGCTGGAGTTAAGGGCCTGTAACTAACTTTAAAGGAATAGGGAGTAAATATCACTGCCAAATTTCCTTCTTCCTGATGCAATGAAGGGTTCTAATTTTAAATTTGTATTTGAAATTGTCACACTGATGGTTATCAGTATGAGGGAGCTTTAATCTGCAAAAAGTTCAATTTTATTTTCTTTTATTTGAGTGCTGAAATTTAATTAAACGTGCAAACGTCTACAACTTTAAAGTATAACAGTTCAGAGTTAGTAACCTAGTTTTGAAAATGCTGCATGCAGGGGGAACTGTATTATTATATAAGAAGTGTGTTGGAAGACTTCTGTGGTATCACAGTTCGGGCATGTGAAAGAAAGTTGATGCCCTTCATTCTGCCTTATCTATTGCTTTTTTCAGAAGAAAAGCCAATAAAGTTAGTAACACAAACCATAGTGCATGTTACAAAATGTTGTAATGGCTGGCACCTGGAAAATATCAGTAGAAGATTGTGTGAACATGAATGTGAAGAGCTGAGACAGCATGGTCATGAGACCTTGCCCTTCAGAGGTTTCGGATGGAGGTGTTCTACCATTTGATGTTTTCACTGTCTGTCTTCTTCTTAACATTTCCAAATTCATTCCAACGGCATAGACTAAGGAAGGAAATTGGTGAAGGTGTTTCTTGCCACTGATAGCTTTTCTTGTCCAGATGCTGCTCTTTGAGGTCACTATAGAAAACACTGTTTTACTGAGCTGAAACAGGACTCTCCCTGTGCTGGGCACACATGATAAATCTCTGTTGTCACTGCAGCAATTAACACTGTGGCACATAACTCTCAATAATCAAGCAAAAGAACAGAATCTCCTTGTAGCCTCCTTGCTGCTCCTTTTAAGGCTTCCCGATGAAGGGCCTGAATATCTGATTTCCCTGGAAGTGCTGGAGTGTTACTATAAAGGATACAGTTAAAAGCTTCATTAGAGTTGTCACTTTATAATCCATTTTACGAAGATGTAATATTATGTGACATTATACATATGGCATGACAGCTTGCTGATCCCAATTTTTTTCATGTTAGAGCCATAGTGCTATTGTGTTCTGTGCAAGAAAAAGCACTGAAAGTAGAAATAAACAGGAAAGACCAGACAACTTGAATTAAAGTTTACGTCTGCACAGATTGAAAGTGGATGGCTGCAGTGTCTCATGGCCCATAATATGGGTCCGCACAGAGAAGCAACTTTCCCATGCAAGAGGGAGTGTGAGGATGTGGAAGGTTGTATGTGCCTCTCACCCAACTTCACACATATCTCTTGCCCTGCTCTCTCTTTTTCAAGCTCTCCACTGCCATAAAAATAATGGTATGAATACTTTCCGACTATGCTAGTTGCTAATAACCATCCTGATGCCATAGTGGTACTTTTTGTTAAATGCAATAAGTATACTGGCTAAAGCCCCTGGGTTTTTTTTTTTTGGTTGTGTTTTAAAGACCCATGAAATAAGCTCTAGTGACTGGAAGACTCTGACTTGTTATACATTGCTATGTTCTGTTTAGGATGGGAGGCTAAATATTGTATGATTTTGTGTAAAGCAATCTAGGATAAATATTGTGCCAGAATGCAACCAAGGAGGTTTGTCATGTAAGCAGGCAGCATGAAACCAGGGCATGCTTTCAAAGCACAATCTGAGAGAACATAAGTAGCAGGCAGGGTCTGCACTGGTGCCCCGCAGGGAGTGCATTCCCCCTCCTGCTGAGCACTCTATTGTTCTCAAGGAAATGAAACACCAAGGAGATGGAAGCAGTGCTCATTCTGCTCAGTTGAAAGGATAAGAAGGGGAAGAGAACTGAATGACCAATGAAAGGAGGATATCCCTTTCTTTCAGTCTAGGTCCTCTTTATACTGTGTACCCAATATTACAAAAGTCAACGAGTACAGACCCACTGCCACTGAAAGAAAAGCACAAAGATTTCTAGGGGTCAGTCTTGCTTTTCTGTGTATACTTCATCTTAAAAATTTGTGTTTGCTGCAGATTACTATGCCCTCTTCGGTACTATGTGCCATGGCTGTGAATTCCCCATTGAAGCTGGAGACAGGTTCCTTGAAGCCCTGGGCCACACTTGGCATGACACTTGCTTTGTATGTTCGGTAAGAAAAGCTATTCTACTTTTTAAACAAACCCATGGCGGCAGTACTTGTGCTAACCTGACTGATATGGGAGTTAAAGCTAAAATGCCTTTCAGTCCTCAGAACCCAAACAAAAAGCACTTTCGCAGTTATTTGGAAGGTATGTTGCTATTGTGAGCCTTTGGCACCCGTCCAGATGCTTTGGCCTGAGTTGCAGCCCTGTGTCCTAGCATTTAACCCTTGACATTTACTTCCCTAAATCAAATGTTTGAGGCCATAAAGGAACAGGCTGCATTTCTTAGGTATCAAGAGTGCTTTTGACATAAAGATACTGTAGCCAAAGTATGATCTTCTAAGATTCTGTGGCATTCTCTCTTACTGTCTCTCACACACACACACAAACACACACACCCCCACACACCCCAAAATCCTGTTATCCTGCTGGTGGGATAAATTTTTGTAAATGCTGCTCCAAGTTAAGAACCTATCGACTTAAAGCAGGCTATGCTTGCATTGACCATTAACTCTGCATCACAGAGAATACCCCTGAAAAAAATGGTAATAATTGTTAGACTTTGAATATACTTTTACATACTACAGTGCCATGACTAGGCATTCTGAATAATGTGTAGTGCAATTCCTCCATCTGAATTGGGTGTTGTTTTCTTTCTGATCCCATTTCAGGTATGTAATGACAGTTTGGAGGGTCAGACTTTCTTCTCGAAGAAGGACAAGCCACTTTGCAAGAAACATGCTCACTCTATCAACATCTGATTCTTGGAGCTCATCTTGTTTAGCAAGTGTACTGAGCAGAAGGAAAGGTCAAAATGTCTGTGTTCAATAATTGGTTAGAATTATTTATATATGCTATGTTAAAAATGGAAGAGAAATGTGGAAAGTTTAGGTGTTTGTACACTATTTTTAAAGTCCTTATCAGTTAGGGATTTGCTTCATAAAAAGATGGGAATTGGGAATCGAACCCAAGCCAAACTATTAGAGTGCCTTTACATCTGCGCTTGGCGTATTATCAGGTTCATGATTTTATGACCACATATATATATACTTACGTATGAGAAGGGAAACTTCTCTAAAAATAAATAGCTGATACTAATGTGTTGGTTTTGCTGCTGTTCAACAAACAAAATGAGATTGGCTTCAGTGATCCAGATCACTTTATTTTGCTGATGTTTTCTAAAGTGTATCTAGAAGTACTGAAGCTAAACTCCTTTAAAAAGGAACTCAAAGCAAAAATAGGCTTACTTGGTATGTATGCAGTTCAACAACGAATAATTTCATCTGATGCTCTGATATATGAAGCCGTATCTGCGCCTTTAGCAGTGAGGTCTCTGATGGGCCTGCAGAGTACGTATGTTTTTACAAAGCAATTAAGCATAGGTGGCAACACGGGCAAACAGGAGTGACTTAGAAGAGGCCACTTGAAAGAAAGCGTAGAAGGGATACTGCTCCTTACATCACGGCATGTACTACCAGAACACTAGCCAAAACAGAGTGCTAGTTGAGTTGCATTTGACAAGACAGAAATGTCAGATTAGATCTTCAGTACAAGGAACTGGGAGTCCTCTGTTCACAGCTGAAGTTTTAGGAAGTTTTCAGTGCCTTGGGAAGGAAATCACATTGAATCTATGCATAAAAGTGTTTATAACTTAAATGTGATGCTTTGGTGTTTAATGAGGGAAGCTTCTGAAATGCAACTGAGGATATTGTTTTTCTCTTAGTGCACTATTTATGATGTAGCTTATAAATACGTATATTGGTGGTGTGCCAGGTAGTGTACTGAAAACTTATTTTCTTGCTCAGCTGTTAATATTTTTATTAGTTTTGCTTTTTTCTCTCCTTTCCAGCAGATGCAAGGAATATATTGTTAAATAATGTAACATTGAGTCAAGCAGTCCAGTATTTCTTAGTTCTTGCAGGGGAAAGGAGACAATACTGCCATTATGCATTTATTGCAAGCCAGGAGATTTTACCAATCCTGTATGAATTTCACTTCCACAAAGAGAGTCAGCACGAGACCTGTGCACTAGCTAATTTTCACTTGTCTTCAAATTAGGGCTCAAGTGGTATGGAGTAATAGTAAGCATATAGGGGAGGGGTGATGACCCTCTGCATGGGGTGAATTTACTCCAGCAGAGTTGCACAACAGAGGATGCCCTCTTGGGGCTATATTAGATTTCTGATGCAAAATACATTTATGTGCTATTAAATTCAACTGAGATTTTAGAGCTGAATTGTGTTAGGCTTCAGTGCTCTTTCCAACACACATTCAAAATGACCATTTGGCCATTTAGTGGTCAGGTTTTTTGTTTGTTTTCTTCTGATTTCTTTTTTCTTGTTTGGATTTTTGTTGTTGTTGTTTGTTTTTCTAAATGATAAAAAGAAGTTTAGACATAAATTCATGGGAAAAATACAAAAAATTACTATGGTTGAGTAAGAGGAAATGTCAACAAAAGAGGCGGGGAAAATGCACCAAAATTGCTGTACTGAAAGATGGAAAGGTATTTCTTTATAATTCAGTTAAACAGATTTACATGATGGGCTGTTTCATTTTTTTCACTTTATTGCCTGAGGATGTTTTTCTTCAATACTACTGTTTCATTTTTAACTTCTGGTGGTATGGAAGAAATGTCACAAAGCTGTTTAAGATGTTTATACTATTATAGATGTAACCTTCTGTGAGTCTGCCTGAAAATCAAAAGGGTGGAAGCTGAATGGATGAGATAACAGCAATATGAGCCAGTTTACTTTTGAAAAAAATGGAATGTGGGAAAACGAGACCTAAGAGCTAGGTGTCCATACAGCTACATTGCACATGTTTGAGGGAGAGGATAGGAATGCACAGGGTAAGGTGGTATTTTCTGCATTTCAAACCTCGCAATTTCTAAGTAGGATAGAAGCTCTTCAGTGGGTGCAAAGTTTGTCAATGTTCTTACAGTCAATTTGATTTTTTTCCTTTTTTCTTCTTCTTCTTTTTTTTTTTTTTTTTTTTTTTTTAAATTTTAGGTTCACAATTTTTATTGGGTTTATATTTCTTAATTCATATGCTCTAGCATTTGAACTTTCACAGTTGTTAGTGAATTTGAGGACAAGCCCCTGAAAGGCTCCATTAGGACTGCTTCATTTAGCTGCTTTGTGTTTTAGCTTTTGGTATGTTTATTTGTTTAAAATTTAAAAAGGAAGCATAGAATCACCGATATGTAATGAGTATTTAATGGCTTTCTCAAATTATCTAAATCAAATAAGACAAAAAGGAAAATATTGTTTGTTGTTATTTTAATAAGTGAGATTTTAGTAGAGCACTTTATAATAATGCCATATATCTCACTGAATATTTATTACTTTTTTGTTGTTTAGGACTATTTCATACTGGTTGTTTTATTTGTCAGCCTGCATACTTACCTCTGGAATCTTTTGGCATGTCAATGTGCGTGTATTTATGTATACTTACCTAGGTATGCACGTGTGTACATTGAGACATACATATTTGTGCACATATGCATACATACATTTGATTGAAGACTTGACATGGCAAAAATCAGAGCAGTTTCATTATCATTTGATTTTGCTTGCTTGTTTTTAAAATTCCCAGCTTCATAAAATAGATCTATATCATTCATGTTTTGAGGCAAATTTAGAAAGTCAGGAAACTCTTGTTAGTAACCTAACTACTGTAGGCTTTTGCATGCATTTTCAGCCAGTAATTCCTTTTTCTTCCAAAACTGTGTTGAGAGAATTGGATTTAACTCTGTTTGAAGTTAGAAGATCTTTATAACTAAATAATTGAATCATGATGAGTATTTCAGTAAATTGTAACTAAATGATTCAGAGTTATGTGTAAATATAATAAATGCTTAATATAACAATGCAATAAACTTATAAACAAAAGTTAAGTAATGGTTAATTACGTGTCTGTCTGTTCAGCTACACACCTGTCTCCTTATGGAGCTACACACAAATGAGTAAGAAGGGGAAATATATCCATTCACAGATAATTTCTCGCGTTTCCTTTTTTTAATTGTTGTTTATTGTTTTACTCTGAAAAATCTGCTGTTTTTTTTTCCCAGCAATTTGCTTGTTTGTCTTTAAAAGGTTTGAGCATTGCATTTTTGGCTGTTCACATTTGGAAATTTAATAATATATTTCTTAAAAGCCACAAACAAAAAGTATAAAAAAGAGAATTCTCTATCTGTCTGTGGTTGTTTTGCAGTTGCTGGACTTTTGTTCTGATTCAGTCAGTAAAGAAAGTCATGACTGTACACACGAATAAATATTATTTGAGCTGCTTATTCTTCAAGTAAGATTGAAAGGTTTTTTGCACAAAGAAGAACCTGGGTTTTCTGGTGGATAGCAAGTTGACCATGAAGCCGGTGCAATGCCCCTGTGAAAAGACCATTGCCTTCCAGGGACAGACTAGGCAGAGCCTTGCCAGCAGGTCAAGGCCTTCTCACCAGTACAAGGGAGGCGTACACACACTGGAGCAAGTCCAGTGAGGAGCCAGAAATATGATGAAGGATTTAGAGCATTTTTTAGTGATGAAACTAGGCAGTTGAGCTTGATAATCTTGAAGGTCTTTTCCAACTCAAATTATTCCACAATTATGTCTCTCCTCTGGGCAGGGGCTGAGATAGATGGGATAGTTCCTCCTGGAGAGGAGAAGGCTCAGGGATCTTGCCAACATGGGGGGAGTAAAAGATAATGGAAACAAGTCCTGCTCACTGGTATCTTGTGACAAGGAACTGTGGGTGGTCAGGTACTGGCACAGGTTGCGCAAGGAGGTTGTGGATTTTTCTGTCCTTGAAGATTTGCAGAACCTGACTGATCGTGGTCACCTGCTCTGAACAGGGGACTAGAAAAGGTCCCTTCATTCTGAAAGGTGGATGGACAAAGACACACCCTTCCAAGCCTTGGTGTGATTGATTCTCCATCTTCTAAAGTTGGAAGTAATCTTCTAAAGTTGGAAGTAAGTACTGAACACTGTGAAATATGTAACAATGTAAAACTCAGATTTGGCTGATTGCTATTTATTTGCGTCCTTTACTTCTATTCCACCACCCAGATAGAATAATTTACAACGTTTGTTTAAATGTGTTTTATATTTTTATATGTTCAGTCTGTTCAAGGCAATACTATCTGCTCTGACAAGCACTATCTGATGCTGTACTTAGCCTTGGCACAAAGCGTTCTCTGCTTTCATTGCAGGATTCTTAGCCATCAACTATAACATGGCCAATTACTTCGTGATAACACTGGTCTCATAAAACTTTCCTTAGCTGAATCTCTCTTAACTAGGCAAATGTGCTGTTATTTTCTACCTTTATTTACACAAGCAAAGGAAAACACTGCACATAGCTCTATAAAATTTAGAGGCAACTTTACAGAAAACTCGCCTCCCCTTTAGCGTTTAGGCTATGAATGAGACAAATGAAAGTCTATTTGCAAACAGTATATTAAACTCCAGAAGCCAAACTTTTAAAGGCATCAGGTCTGCATTTGACGTTTTAATGGCAAAGGTTTGGTTTCTATCAATCACAACGTCATGTAACATTTAAATGCACCGACAAAAATAAGAAATCTGTCATTCATTCATTAAAACACTGTAATCCTGTGTAAGATTTATAGGCTTAAAAGTCAACAGTGTGTTTTCACAGTAAATCCACTTTCACTGCTCAGCACAGAACAAATCTGTCTGTCACTCAAAATGTTTGCTGGTCAAAATGAGCTGTATGAGATCTTCAAAGGGTTTCTCACAAAATTGCATATAAATCCTTTTACCAGCAAAGGCTCGATTTAGGTTTGAATTTTACTTTCTCAGGACATTGGCTAATATCTTGTTCTCAGACAAGATCTTGGTTATATCAAAAACACGTAGGGCCTAATTTATTATTAGTGGTCTGGTGTTAATTAGGGGGAATTACCAGAAATAGTTTGCTTGATGGAAATTTATTATGGGATCACACTTTACTGATGGCAAAATAGGAGTCACTGAAAGAGTGCAGCTCCTTCTCATAACCAACTAATTAATAAGGTGCCAAAATTCCTCTGAGAAAGGGTTTGGTCCTAACTATGGGAACCTCACAGAGCAAATGGTTCCTATGCAGTATTTAAAATTTAAAAGAGGAAAAGAAAGGAGAAAGAGCTGCCCAGCAGAAGTCTCAAAGTGGTATGGCTTTTTCTTGAATTTATGAGAGAAAATATTTAGCTGTGCTTCTAACTTCTCATTAAAGAATTGCTTTTCCCAGACAAAAAAAAAAAAAAAAACAAAAAAAAACCAGCAGCAGCAAGTTTATAATCTCATTTGGTATTCCTGAACTTGGTTTGCAGTTTTCCTTGTACATACTGCAAGCTACAGGTCATGATTTCATTAACTAGCTTATAACAAGCTTTTGTATTGCTCTTTATTACTGCCCCTAAAGGTCTCTTTCTTCATCGTTTGTCACGAAGGTTGGCATAGTTAGGAAATTTGTGCTTATGACTGAAAAAAATAGGGCAAAGAACTCAGCTCTGTGATAAGGCCAAATATAACATGTCTATAGCAGTTTGGGGGTAGAAAACCACTGTCTGTTCTTAATGGTTACAGGAAAGTCTTGTACCAGAATGGCAAATTATAATAGTATGGAGCACAAGCAAAATATCTCTAAACAAATTTAAAATCACTGTTCTAAAAGTTACATGTGGCTCTCTTGGACAAAATATATTCCACAAGATTTTTTCCAAAATATTTAAGATAGTAAGGTATGCAAGTTGTAATAAAACACTTCTGTATTTGCACTGGAAATATCTTCAGCTCTTTAAAAAAATATATATTTTTTTTTTTCTGGATTCTTAGTATACTCTGAAAATATGTATTGTCACATTGTATTCTGAGCAGGGCTCATATTTTCCACATTATCACAGTTAAATCCTGTTCAGTATTCATGCCTTCGCCTCGCTTTTTCTTACTACTGGGCAGTGCTATTGTTTGTTTTAAAACATTTCAGCACAAGATAATCCTGTCAAGGTGTGTCCTTTGTTTGTCTTCGTGATGCATCAATGAAATGTCAAAAGTTCCTTTAGCAAATATAAACTTCCTCTACATTTTGTCACACTTTCCAAAGCATCAAGTTTTCCCACCCAGAAGTTTCCACTGGAAAAGTAACTTAAGATACCAGATCAAAGTGGTAATTACATCCCACATAAACTCTTTCCCTTGAAACCCATCAGGTAAAAGAAAAGCATATAAGTGCAAATGTAGCATTACATTCATTGATAACCTACGTGAATATGGCCTCGTTTATTTCAACTTAACCCCCCTTCAAATAAAATAGAACTAGTATCAAAGCTATATTAATTTTAGCATTTTCTTTCCCCAGTTAGTGAGATCAGAACTAAAAGGGGATGTGGGCCCTTGGTTTCAGTGAGGTTTCCTTAACTAATGTCACAAAAACTATTCAAAGGAAAGCTACAGTTTGGTGGATGACAAACAGTTGAGTACTACAGCATCCAGAAGTAAGTGATTATGGTAACCTCATTACCACAAGTAATACTGCCTAAAACAGTGTTATTTCATTTGTCAAATCTCAAATTTTCAGTTAAAGAGAAAATCAGATCCTACTCAGCCCACTCTAGCTACTTGCTGATTCAATGAAATGTGGAATTCTTACACACTTCCACATAAATACAACATTTCTTAGTTCTTACCTAGTAATCAGGATCATCATTATACTCTAAGAATAAATAAAAAGAAAAGTTAAATCTTAATTTGGCTCCATGAATAAACCAAATTATTGGTGTTTGTACTGAACTGCAGCTCTCTTAGATCTCTCATTAAGAGCTTTCAAAAATTACTTCAGCATTACTTCAAATTCACTTTCATTATTTAAAGATTTGTCTGTGACACATACTGCAGTAACTTACTTCTCCTGCGTGTGAAGAACAAATAATACTTCATAAGGCAAGACTTTTATTTTTGTTTTTCATAGAGAAGACCTGCTTGTTTTTGTGTATTCTTATCCTGTGCCTGTTTCTGGAGACAAAGGAGGGTATAAAATAGAGTACATTAACATTCACAGCGCCTATGGTCCAACCTATGATTTACCACAGTTTTCTTTAAGCAAACCAAGTGCAGTCAATCTGTTGTATCGCTTTTTTTCCCATGTGGGAAAGCTCTACTGACAATCAGTTGAGCGTTACAGGGAATTTCTGACCTGTGATATATGGAGAAACAAACACGCTGAGCTTTCTCTGAAATAGAGAAGTGTGTGTCAACATCAGTAAAATTACAGTAAAACTACAATCTGTCATTAAGTCTCACATGTTCCTCCTTATGTATATTTTCCCAAATCTGCAACTGATCAACTGTTTGCTCCTGCTTTCACTGAAACGCCTCTTATAGTTGGCTAGAGGCTTCCTCTGCAACATTAGGAGAGAGGTTACTTCTTTATAGTCTCTTCTTTCATTTTTTCCAAAAGGTTTTGTGCAGATTCTTGGCGGAGATCAGCCCTGATGAAGCCTGTGATGCTCTCCCAAAAAATCAGCAATATCACATTTTCTTTTTCAAAGCTTCTCCATTACAAAAGCTCTAAAGCTTTGGCAAAGGTTTCCTAATGCCAAACAGATTCATCTTCTAGACAGCTATGTGATGATAGTAGGAGAATGAGATATCACGTATTTTTCTTTTCAATGAGAATTAGCATTTAGGATTGCAATGTCTTATGGGAGCATTGCATGGCTCGTTAGACAGTATTATGGTACTGCAGGGAAACAGTCACAATTTGGAACATGACAGATGTAGTAACTGTAGCATTCCTTTATGAAAAGAGACAAGCTGGTAATGTTGCTATTTACTTACTTTAGATATCCCACAGATGGTATTATATCGCCTATGTAGTTTACATTTGTAATATATATTATG